AGGGACCTCAAAAGATCATCTAGTCCAATCCCCCTGCCGGAGCAGGAACACCTAGATGAGGTTGCACAGGAAGGCGTCCAGGCGGGTTTTGAATGTCTCCAGAGAAGGAGACTCCACAGCCTCTCTGGGCAGCCTGTTCCAGTGCTCTGTCACCCTCACTGAGAAGAAGTTTCTTCTCAAATTTATGCAGCTGAAGGTTTTCTTTTATTTCCATATGGGTTGTTGTTCATAGAATACAGAGGGTACAGAGAGTGGAGAGGTTACTCCAGCACATCCAGTCCTGCAACTGCTTGTTTCTAATTCTCTGAGTTGCAATAAAGAAAATAATAAGTTAACCAATATTCATTTGTTTTCTTATGGGATGTATTTTTCATATAGATTTGTAAGTAGAAAGAAGATGTTGAGGCAGTTAATCTTCCCAAGTTGGACTCTGAAAGATACGGGGTTACTGAAATCGTTCACTCCTGCAGTCTTAAGTATCCTTTGATCATCACAACGATCTCTTAGAGTCATTTCATAAGAGCCTTTGGAGGGAGGAGGGTGTTCAACCTGTAACTTTTTCAGTATGTAGAACATGAACTATGGTTCCTGAGTGAGGAGCTGTTGGATACTTCTCTCTGGTTCACCAGCTGGCCTCACACCTTGTCTGCCATTTGTAGTACAGCAGCAGAGAACACTGTGTCTCAGTCTAGCCTGGCTCCCTGTGGGTAGAGACCTCTCCTCAGCTTTGAAGTCCTATTAAAAAAAAAAAGAGGAGTTGAACTTCAGTCTCTTTCTGAGGAAATGCCTTAAAGAACAGATCATTATATGAAGAGGCATTTTCAGCACCAGTATTCATAGTGGTTTGTCAGAAAAGAGTCCCAGTTTTGGAGTCCAGTTTCACAGAAGAATCTCCCTATGTTTGATGGATAGAAGGCCTGAGCACTTTCTTCCTAGCTTGCTGTGGACAGCGTACATAGAGTCTGCTCCCTGATCTCATCTCTGTCAAGCTTACCTAATTTTCTCGAGATATGATACCCTTGCCACCTGATGCAGATTTGCTTGTGGGAACCAGAAGGCTACTAGATTTTATGGTGCTTAGTTTTTGGTTTTCAGTTGTCTGTACCTTAGGCCTGTCAACCTTACCTGTTGCTGCACTGCCATTCAGAGCCAAAAGCAGTATTGTGGTGTGATTCCTTTCCAGGTAGGGAATATCCCTTGGGTCAGCTGGGGTCAGCTGTCCCAGTTGTGTCCCCTCCCGATTTCTTGTGCACCCCCAGCCTACTCATGGGCAGGGCAGTGCAATAAGCAGAAAAGGCCTTGAATGCTGTGCAAGCACTGCTCAGCAATAGCTAAAACATCCCTGTGTTTTCACAGAAATACAAACAGTACCATAAAAGCTATGTAAAGAAATTTAACTCTATCCCATCCAAACCACTACAGTATGTTTTAAAATCCTAGTGAGCCATCACATAAAGCACATTCCATGCATTTTAAGCATTTGTCAATGTTGCATGTGCTGAAAAATTATTCATATTTTGTTACCTGTACTCTTATATTCCAGTTAATAAATTGCTCCAGGAAAATGGTACACATAGTTTGATTGCCTGAAGGATCCTTTTATTTTTAATCATGACTCAGTTGCATTTCCATCTGGCAGAAAACCACTTAGTAAAATGTACAAATTTTCAAGCACTTAATGAGGTAGAATAGGCATTTTAAATTTCTGAAGTCTGTACGGTTTGAATTAAGACTTCATTGTTCATATTGTAGTTATCCACGTTGCAGCTTTTCCTCACTGTAATAATTCTAAGGCAACTCTTTGTTTTCAGCCCATTGTTTAGTGTTCTTGTTTAGTGTTCTTCTCATTAAGATGTTCTGCTTCAGTATTTACAGTGTCTTATCTGACTCTTCTGAAACAGGTCGTGTACCTTCAATATTGCTCTTTGTTGGTGATATTTGTAATTCAGATACAGCTTGTTTACTTAGCAATATTGGGCATTTCTAATAAATTCTGCCTTATTTGAATTAAGATTATCTCAGGCTATAGCAGCTTTATTATCTTGCATCAAGTGGAATAATAAGATACAGTTTTTATGCAAAATCTGAGAATAAGATTTTAGAAGTTAGGGTGTTTAAAGTAATTTTGAAGACTGTATTATTTTAATTTCCACCAAGTAGAAGAATGCAAGATTCAGCCAGGAAATCATACTGATCATTCACTTTGAGAGAGATAAGGAAAGAATAATATATATTGTACTGGGGAGAAAGGATGGGGTTTGACATATCATTACGTTCCGCTTTGCAATAATATTAGAACATTGAAAAAATATACTTTAGAAGATAAATGTATACATGATTATGTTAATGGATGGGATTTTGTTTTACATTACCACAAAATTTCAGCTTTCCAGCAGTGTGAAACATTGTATAGGCTATTTAGCATGGAAGAATAAGCCTTATTCCTTTCTATGTGTTGACAGAGAGCTTTGCTAACCAGGGAGTGGTATGTTATTTAACCTAAGCATGCAGTATGATGAAGATGCCTTTCTCATGGAGAACTATTCAAGTCCTGTGTGTCTTTCACCATCTTGGTATCTTGGAAAAAATAAAAAACCTTAGCCAACACCAATCAAGAAGTTTGTGCTAGTGCATTAGTAAATTCGCTTTTAAAACTAAGCCGTTTCTTATGTTCCTGTTAATATTGTTACTTCATTTATTCTCTAAACTTTTTAAGGCAAGGAAGCGTAACTGAAGTATGTCCAAGTATTGTTATTAGTAACGCTCTGTTGGTTTGCCTGCAGCATGTTTTGTCCAAGCAGTGCAACTCAATACCTTTCTTGCCTGAGAGAAACGAGGGAGCCTCTATGGCAAGCCAGCCTCCGTGTGCACTTATAAATACTCCAAAATTGATTCCATGTTTAGGCGAGCTCTGAGCTTCTAATGCTGGTTAGAATGAGAACATTGTTGTAGGTTCCTGGTCATTGCCTGTGTATTTATAGTTCATACTGTTCTTGTGAATTGACAAAAAGAAAATAACCAGAAAAGGCTGGACCAAATGTGCCAGTGCCTGTAACTTCAAGGAGAAGGCATACCCTTAGCTGAAGATGTCTACCAGACCTCCTAAAACTTGAAGGATTCTTTCAAATTTCAGGTTAACTTTCTCTAAACATTGAACTATTCCTCTGGCTAATTTGATGATAATCTTTTCAGTAGACCTTCAGTGTCAATTTTGCAGGAGGTTCAGCTTTGTGAGTAGAAACCTTGGGGTCTTGCTCCCGTGTATCTGCTGTGGTTTTGCTATGGCTCAGTCTGTTAAGAAAAACTGAGGCTGATATGGTTTTGCCTTGGTAATGTGAATCCTAAAATAGGGCATTTCATCTGTCACCTTGCAGCAACTGACTGATTCACGTGGGTGAGTCTGGGGAAAAAATTTTTCTGACTGCCAACCGAGACTCCTGCGATGCTCTTTGCGGGCACTTGTCACAGTTACATAGTGAGGGCTAAGTTCTGCTTTACTCTTAAAATACAGGTTCATCTTCTTTATGAAAAAGAAATATTTTCTCCAGTTTTGCAACTTTTTCTATGTAGAATGACTTGCAGGAAGTTTGCTACTGTGATAATTGATCTGTGAGCAAATATTAATTAGGGAATAGCACATCACTTTTTTTTGCTTCAAGTCATGCTAATTAAAATATGTTTTTTAAGTTACATTTTGAGCATGTTGCTTATCAGTTTTTAAAATTTTAATCAAAATATGTAATAGTTGGGTTTTTTAAGTGAAACCATTATAAAAGCTAAAAGGAGCAGATGTCAAAACCTGACAGTTTTAGTAGTGTCATGATACGCAACTTAGTTGTCTCTTGCAGTCATTTGCATGTCATAGGTTGATTTTTAAAAACTATTTTTCTACAAGAGTTTTTCTATGTATGATAAAGACAAATGAATATCAGTAATAACAGTCATTGAGGCTTGCTTACAAGAGCTCTTTCATAGAGCACTCGAGTCTTGAAGTGTAGAAGGAAGTTCAACAGTAGTACAGTACATAGCTATGCGATTATTGACTGAAAGCTATGTATCTTTTCAACTTGGTATGATGAAGAGCACAAGCCAAAATGATGCTGCTGGTGAATGGCTATTTGGAACTGTAATTATACTACGTAAGTGAAAGGTGTTTTTGTTACTGCAGACCGATGATACTGCCTGAGATTCCTACATTCTGATAATTCGTAAATGAAATTAGTTCATGTAAGACAAAGCTTTCTGCATTGTGGGTAACCCATTTTATGAGGTAGTGTTATTTGGTTTAGGTAGTTTTCTGTATTGCTTGCTCAACGTTTACTGAGATGGTATACAATATTCCATTTAGGATTTCTCAAAACTTATACTAAGAAATGTTGTATCTCTTTAAAAAAATCTGGGAATCAGACTGAATCAAGGTTAGTGGCTATTTATAGAAGGTGAAGCCTCCAGGGTAATACAGAAGGTGAAAGGTCACAGTGTTAAAGAGCAGCTCTATTTGATTTTCAGTTAGAGTCTAGAAGTATACATTATACAGCCAGGAATGAAATCCATAGATAGCTTTGATTCATAATATTTAACTGTTCTGATTTTTTTTTGTTATTAATAAAAGATATACCAACAAGAGACACTGATATCCTGTACACCCAGTGTTAGAATAAGAAACAATCATATTAAAATGGAATTAACTTTTGGCTTTGGCAGAGAATCCTCACTGATTTGTTGGGTTTGTCCTGGCTGAATGAGATCTTTCATTGTGGTGAAAAGTAGTTGGTAAAGGGATTTATTGTTATTATTATTATTTAAAGTTTCCATTAGCACACATTTCCACTAAAATACCATTTATGAACCAGAGGGTCCTACATTTTGCCTTTCTTGGCAAATTAGTCCAGAAAGATTTTTGATCTTTAAATGTAGTCAGAAAAGATTTGTTTATATTTTAGTGCATAGAATTTTGTCATACTTAACTTGTGGTTCTTACTTTTATTTTCCCCCTATAGATATATTCGAATTGTTGGGACCCACAACACAGTGAACAAAGTTTTCCATATTGTGGCTTTCGAATGTATGTTCACAAACAAAACCTTCACTCTTGAGAAAGGTTTGATAGGTAAGAGAGAAAACTGTTTTCATTTTACATGAACTGTTGTCAATGCTTGCCTTTTAAGACTGGCTGTCACTGCACTTACTCGTGTTTCCACACAAATCTCTAACTTGAGTTAAATGATGCTGTAAGCATAGAATTAGATGGCTCGTCCTTATTACTACTTTGAAATTCTAGTTCTGTGGATTAATTAGTGATGCTGTAGGAATGCTAACATTCAGATTAAACCAACTGCTGCTGACAAAGCCACTGGTAATTGAGTCACTCTGTGCTGCTAATCTGATTTTTCTTTGCATGTCATAATATGATTGCTCTTTCCTCCTGCTAGCCTAGCCTGAATTCTGTAACGAGGATGGAGTAACCAGGGCTATTTATTGCAGTGAAGATGGATTTGGGCATTTAGGACCTCTTACGCAGCCTACTTTCAACTGCTGAAAGTAAACTCCATGTGTTAATTTCCCCCTAAAGAGTCATAGACACACTTAGCCGTGGCAGAACATTATATAGGCTACCCTTATTCTCACAATGCCGCACTGATGGAGCTCTGGAGCTCCAGACATATATAGCTTGTATATTACTGATTTAAATGCCTCTACATAGTACTGCATTACTTAAGGTAGAAATCCCCAACAGACCAACAATACTGAATTATAAACTATGTCAAAGTAAGATTTAATATGTTTTTTTAAATAATCAAAACAGGGTGATTCTGTGCTTTCTTCTAGATAAATTCAGGTGAGTAAGATCTTGAAATTCATTGGGAAGAGCTTTGTGCACCTTTTACTAGTTGTCTGGGTGGGATTTCCCACAGTTTGTTACTTCTGGCATGAAATTGAGAGTTTCAGCAAAATTATCAGAGTTCATGCTGCTTTTAAACATATATTTAAATTAGTAGAAAATTAAAAGAGTGAGAATTCAATGAGTAGTTAGTTGAGAGAGAGATGTGGACCAACTTCCAATTGTAGATAAGGCAGCAATAGTTTGATACATTACCAGTTTAAAAGGGACAAATAGGAAGATTTTGGGACTAGTTTAGGGTCTGGAGAATAAGCCTTATGAGGAGCAGATGAGGGAACTGGGACTGTTTAGTTTGGAGAAGAGGAGACAGAGAGAACTTGCTGCTTTCTACAACAATGTGAAAGGAAGGTGCAGTGAGGTGTGTGTTGGTCTCTTCTTCCGTGTAACTAATGACAAGAGAAAATGGCCTGAAGTTGCACCAGGGGAGGGTTAGATTGGATATTAGGAAAAATTTCTTTACTCAAAGAGTGGTCAAACACTGGAACAGTCTGCCCAGACTGCCCAGACAGAAATTAATTCAATCATATGAAATTACTCCCTAACACAGATGTTAAGGTTGAGATGTAATTGTCCTTTTGGCATAGCATTATCTCTAGATATGCAAGTTAGTTAACAGTTGTACATATTAGAATCATGAGACTGATGTAACTGTTTCACTTACCAGAGATGTAAATATTTTTTTAAATCTCAAAAGCATTGTGTTTGCTTTTAATGAACTTCCACTTCTGAAATTTTGAATGGTCTTCAGTCATTAATATTTAATCTAGAGTCCCCAAGTAAGAGACATACTCTTTTGTGGAGGCAGAAGCAGTACCTGGTGTGATGTGATGTTTTGTAAAAGCTGCTTCTCTGCCCAGTGGCAGGAAGTTGCAACAGTGGGTTAGGGGCTGCTTCTATGCAATGCCTTTTGGTTTGGGGTTTTTTTCCCCACCTAAATATAGGATCTGATGCCTCTTTTCTGCCTGAAAGGAAAAAAAATAGATAACTTCTCTTAGTCCTTTAATCAGTACTCAGTGCTGAGGGCAGTCAAGGACTATGCAGGAATGTGGGTTTGACCAGCCTGCATCCTATTCTGAGCCTGGTTAAAGTCATAGACAGTACAGTGTGGAAGGCTTGTCTATGAAGCTGTGTTCATCTGTAGTATGTCTCATTCTGTCAGACTATATTGTAACTTGTACATTACACATGAAAAGGAGTACAGTGAATAATGACTGAAGAGCAGAAGATGGATATAAACCACTGGAATGTCCTTGGTCACCCTCTGGGGAATGCCATTCAGTACTTACAAATCATTGTGAACCTTCATTTGTGCACTCTTCAGTGCCTTAGAGGAATTTGTTTTAAAAGGGAAAAATGAAATTAATAAATAATCATTCCCTTGTATCCTACTTACTGGCAATTTTTAAGAAAAAATAAATTACATGTATAACAGAGAAACCAGTCGTATCAGTTTCCCAGTGTGTGGTTCAGCTTTGTAAAAGATTGCTCTCTCTCTCCAAGGAAACAGTGAGAGATGCTATTTTTGTGCCTAGTTTAATGTTGACTCCGCACAAAGCTATTTTATTTTGTTTCTTCTCTTTTTTAAAGGTTATCCTTCTTTCAAAACCATGCAGGTTTACCCAGCAATGTAAGTCAGCTCTGCTGCAAGCATAGCCTTAGGAAATTATGAAAATTTGAAGATGATCTAAATACTGCAGGGATTTTCTTTTTTTCCTCTGCCTACAGGAAAGGACAGCTCCATGGTCAGTTTAGTTACTGCTACCCATTCTTCCACAGGGATCTGTTCATTTGGTTCCAGTTACTTTTCTTTTTCTTCTTATTTCCAGTGCTGCAACGAAGGCTGCATGCTGTTCCTAGGGCTCTTCTGAAACAATTGCTATTTCTGAAAGCCGTCTTCAGGCTGAATGTTTAATGAAAGAGCCCTGTAGCCAGACAGTTCGTTGGCAATTAAAAGTATGGCTAGTTCTAATGACTTGAATGCTTTTATTCTAATTTATTGGATCAGAAATCATGAGCTGTAGCAGATATCAGCTGAAAAATCAGTCTTCTGATTCTAATCCAAACTGACAGCTGGACATTGACAAATACTAGTGGGGTTTTCTTCTCCAGCTAAGTAGAGCTTGCCGAAAGCTTTTCACTGAAACAGAAAGAAATGCTGTTGATATTTGTTTGAAGCTGAAAATTCTTGATTTCTTGATAGAAGATACAAATGAAATGTAGCAACATCATCAGCAAGTTTCAACTCAAGAAAGTAAGAAAGTATGTAGGAAGAGAGACAGGACTTTGTGACTGTACTTTTAATTAACTGAAAAGTCTGTAGACTTAACGTGTACTACCATGTGGCAAATAAACAAGTGCTAATTCATGTACTGAGTAAAGATTACACTTAGAAATCTTTTAGCATGTGGAAAACAATGAAAGCAGAATGCCCAGCATCCTTTTAAATTATTTAATACAATAAAATCAAACCCTGGAATAATAGTGATATCCCTAATTTTATTTATTTTTTTTTCTTTCTTTCTTTTAGCTTTCTTTTTTCTAACCATCACTTTCTAGTGAGGAAGCTTTTGTCAGCTCAGGAGATGTTCAGGTAGAGAAGGAATGCAATTTTACCATTAAAAATGGGACGATTGAAAGCTGAGCATTTAACAGAGGTCAGCATGAGGGAAAAACCACTTCTTCATATTAACTGAAACACAAAATGTATTTCTTCCAGTATAATTTCCTGTTTATAATTCCTTCACAAAGTGATTTTTGTGTCCTAAGAGAATTCAGTAAAATGAACAGTTGTGTTCCAGTGATGACATTTCAGGTGAGAACCTTTGACTGACAGTTGCCTGGAGTGCATTATAAATATATTCAAGTCCATAATACTTTAAATTATTGCTTTCCTATAAAATAAGACTACTTATTTTAAGACCACTTATCTGCTGTCTCTCTGTATGTTTATTTTTGTAATTGAAATAAGGTTCATTAATGGCTGTTCTTGTGAGATGAGCCACGAACCCACTCCCTTCTGTTCCTTCCTGTGTTGCAAAGAGTTGTTTGAAGGTTTTCTGTCATTTTTTCTTCCCTCATGTTAGCCAGTTGATTGCAGTGAAGTTACCGTGAATGGACAGAAAGCAAAATTGATTTGTCCAGTCTGGGAGATGAAAGGAAGTACTTTACACTCAGATATGGGAGCCAGTTAACAACGGCTGCATTAATTTTTTTTCTTAGTACTTCAGTGAAAAATAAATCCTATGGAAAATAAAGCATGCTAAAAATTAAGGGAAGAAAAACCCACCAATAAACAATAACAAAAGAACCCCTAAGGAGTGATAAATAAATATGACTTAGGTCTACCGCACACTTCTGGTACATTTTTATCTTGAAGGATCTCTAAGGACAGTTGAATGACACATCTGTCTTATCTTTAAATATAGCCAGTAGAGGTGGCCATTAGGCCATGCCTTGAAGATGACAATCCTTTATAAAAATACTGTTACTAGAATTAAATATGCTGCCAAGCTGTTCATTGCTTCATACAGCAGCATAAGACCAGGAGAGAAGAAAGTAGGTTTTAATAAATGTTTTGATGCTGCTGTCTTGTAACCTCTATCATCTTCTCCTTTTGTTTGCTTACAGAATGTGTATGCTTTACTAATGCACATCTCTTTGTTACATAAAAGCAAATCAGATTTGTCAGAGCAAAACTACTCTATGAAGAGTGGAAAAAAAGAATTTCCATGTTTGTAATCCTCTCTTTTGTTTTCTTGTACAACATTGGTTAGTGCAAAAGCTGGATAGCTGGTGGATTTCTTTTTTTTTTTAAAGAAACAAAAATAGAAACAAGACTGTTGGTTTTGGCAGTATGTTTGTGTAAACAGGTGACCTAAATTGAAGCAGGAATTCTAATGGGAAAAAGGAAGAGAGACAGAAGACTTGAAAATACAGCACAGAGCAGAGTCCCTAGCAGATGGTATTTTTAATACATTTATCAAGCCGGTATAAAAGATGATAATGAACATTCAAAATAGGGTGTGGCAGACTCCCTAGAGAGAAGGAACAGTATGGCACCTTCTGCACACTGCAATTAGTTAGAATCACTTTCTAATAGGGAAACCACAGAATTATATTAAAAACACTAGGACAGTTTCTGTGTGGTTGTTAAGGAGTTTGACTAATCAGGGTAACATCTACTTAGGAGGTCACGGCTTAGGGCAGAAATCTAAAAGTGAGAAGGAGCCGGGATTATGCTCAGAGGTTGTGCAGGTAAAATATTGGATGAATTGAGCTGTGCTGTGTTCAGTTAATGCCGTACATAACTCAGAGGGTGGCCAGAATATGCCATAGAGCCTCAATGTGAACATTGATTTTGACACTTCATCTTCTACTTGTTCTTTTTAACCTAGATTTCAGTAGCTTCCTCTTCCTACAAAAAGTAGCAATATATAGGAGATGCTTTAATGCCTGTACAAAGCAGATACTCAGGGAAGTTCCCGTACTGCCAGGGAAGAGGGGAAGAAAAGGAAGCGAAGGAAAACTTTATTCCGATGCCTGTACTCTAAGTTTGCATTTGATAGTGCAGTAGATTTTTGAGAAACCATTGCTTTTCTACTGCCTTGGATTATTACTTGCCAATGAGCTTACACTTTTTACCCTGTATGTTTTATGGTGTTGGTTGGTGGTTTTCTTAAGATGATGCTCCTGACACCACTTGCACGCTTAAAATACAGAACTCTACCTTGGGTGCTGGAGACTCATACAGTTACCTCTGAAATTTCATGTATTTCAGCCATTTTCAGATTCTGTAGTATTTTAAATACATATTTTACAGACAACTGTTAGAAGTGTGTAATTAAGTTATCAGTGTGCAGTGGGCTTGAAGTGGTACATTTGCACCTGTACTATATATCACTTGTTTTCTCATGAAAATTCAAATAGTGTTGGTTATACATCTTCTGTATTTCTAATTTTTTTGTGCACTTCTTGGTTTGACTTGTGTGTTATTCTGATTTTCAGAAATGTTTGATATGAGATATTTGGAATTTGGAAATAATGTTAAATCAATCATTGTTATTCAGATAATTTTTGGTAAATTCTTCCTATCTCTTTTAAATTGCATTGCCACATAAATTGGTTGTCATTCATTAGAGCAGACACACAAAATCTTAGCTCTGTGCTGAATGAATTTTTTTGAGTTATTTAGATAAAACAATCAGTGTTTTCAGCATTTCTCCGGAAAAAAAAAAGAAAGACTTTTCAGCAGGAAGCCTTGATTTCTCTGTGTTCACAGAGCATCATTTTTCAGCCTTGTTAGTTTTTTGACTGAGAGAATAAAGTCATACATGTTTGAGAAGTTGAGGTTAGCTAAAAAGTCAGTTTTTAAGGAAGTGCTGGACCTGACTAGGACATCTTAAATAGCTTTTTTTTCTCATGTTCATCTGTCATTTTGCTAGAAGGTGACATTCAAGAAGGTTGGGATTCTCTCTGAATTACAAACAGAAAATAAGTACCATGTGGGATTAAGTGTTAACAAAGGGAAATAATAGGTAATTCCAAAAATAAGTGTTGAAGCACTTGTAAAACAGTGCTGGAAAAGCACTCTATGCAGAAGAAAAGACACCTCTTTCTTACAGCATGCTCCCAGAGGAGCTGCTGTTGTCTTGATCTTTGATGGAATTGCTGAAATTATGTCAAGCTCTAATTGTGCTATGAATAGCATTTGATTTGAAAGGAAGGGGGAAACTACTTCATTGGATTTAAATTAAATTAAGCAGGACTAAGTATGTATAAAAAGAGCATTCTTCTCCTTGCAAATATTTCTAGAAACCAACACTAAAGTTATGTACTTTGCTAAAAAATAACAGCTCTCGATGGTACACCTTTTTTAATTGCCTAATATGTAATACTCCTCTGCTTCTAAAAATTACTGGTGAAAGTTTACATTACCCTTTATCTAATTCAGTTTATAGCAGCTGTTTCCAAGCTAGACCATTCTGTTTTGGATGTACCAGGGAGAAGGAAAAAGTTTGGCACACCAGACTACTGCATGATGGCATTTTTTTATGGCTGCAGATAGGATAGAAAAAAAGAATTATTCAGCAAAAATCTTTAAAAATTAACATGGGGGGGACAGGGTGGAGTGGGGGGCGGGGGGAAGTTCTGTATAATTCCACCACTGTCTCCTGGAGGAAAATCATGATCCTCTGTTTTGGCACAATATTTTCTTTTCTTCTGCTATTGGGATATAATCTTTTTTTTCCTTCTTGTGGCTTTCAGTCATACCTTTTTCCTGCCTCTTAACTGAATGAGAAATACTTCTGCACTTGCTTTTTCATTTGTGTGGCAGACTTATTGGTCTCTCCTTCCCTCTTGTGGTCTAATACTTGTGTTGAAGGTTTTTATAATTATTAAAAAGCATTTTCATTTTTTAAATTTTGAAGTGCAGTTTCTGATCACAGTAATAGAGACCTTCAGAAGTACCCACAGGTACGTGTTGAGAATAGCCTCCGGAGCTGTGAGGCTTCAAGCCTTGGTTTTCAAGACCTTGAGTCCTGGCTTCCCACAGTCCAGATCAGTGCTTTAAATTATCTCCCACTTATTTCTTTCTCTCTCTCTCTGTCTCTCTTCTTTTTTCTTTTTTCTTTCTCTTTTTTGGTGGGGCAGGGAGGTTTCATTGTGAAAACGGGAAGGAATTTTTTGAAAATTTCAGACATTTTGCTGGACAAAAATTTCTTTTCCCAATTGTATTAAAAGAGTGCTTTCTTATCACCAAGACAGAAATCCATCTATTAATTTACTAAGATATTTTGCTTTTCTGGGTTTGATGCTACAAAAACTACCTGTACCACATGATTCTGTTGCATAGTTCGTGTTAAATTAAGAGTTAAATTTCCTTGTGTTGATCATGCTTTCATCCTTCTTCCCCCACCCCCCCATTCTTTGTGAGAAATCAAGACCATTGGTATTTGAATTGTTTTCTGACTGTATGTCTGTCATCTTTGTGTTTTAATTCACAGTTCCCACTGAAAATGTTGCAACGATTGCAGATTGTGCCAGTGTGATTGAGGGTGTAAGTCGCAGTCGCAATGCCTTGTTGAATGGAGACACAAAAAACTATGATTGGGATTCTGGGTACACGTGCCACCAGCTGGGGAGTGGAGCTATTGTAGTGCAGCTAGCACAGCCCTACATGATTGGATCAATACGGTAAGAGACTTTGTTTTTCTCTGGATTAAGGGCAATAGTGAAACTTTTGCTGAGAACAATTATTTTCTTTAGAATATGTGACGTTTGGAAATGACGGTAGTTAGGGAACTAGTTTAGTAGTTGTCATTTGGCTTCTTACTTCAGTGTAATGGGCATGTTAAAAATTGAACGTGTGGATTGTATGTCAAGATACAGCAGTGCAATTTCAGAAAATATTACATTTCGGAGACATCATAATAGTAATAGTCGAATTGTAAGATTAAAGGTATATACTCAGATTAAAATAGAAATTTAATTGCAGTCTCGCTTGTGGTCCAAGTAGATGCAGTTACTCATATCTAACTTATTGTGAAAACAGACACATTTATTGAAAAAAGCCATCATCTCAAGTCAGCCAAGTTTCCTTTTCACTGTACAGTTAGTACCACTTCTTACTTGGACATGGAGTGTATAGTAAGGCTACAGTAATCTGAATATTGCTTTACAATGTTAGATTAATGAATGTGTTTAGCCTATTTCTACAGTGAATGTGTATGTGTGTATATATATATATATGAAGAACGAACTTTTGGCTAATGTAGAAACTGTGGAAATAGATTGGGGAGTAGGATTGTTCACAGGTGAAGACGAAAATCTTCTTGCCAATTTCAGATTCTCTGACAATAAATGATTGCTTTGTTTCATAAAATCAGACATACAAAACCTTATCTTAATGGCTTCCCATCCTTTGCAAATTTAGAATAAGTTGTCAGGGACTTAAATTATATTTTCTGTGATAGTGGTAAAAAAAAAGAGAATGGTTTCTAAAGCTGCAGTAGCAGAGAGCAGAGGTTGAAACCCCAGGTGAGGTACTGGCTTGCAACAGAGGCCATGCATATAGGTACGTATTGAACTAGCTCAGTGCCAAGAGCTGCCTCTTCAAACTGACTGATGAGCAAGTGATGCTTGAAAGCTCTTTTATAGCTGCTCATTTGTTTTGTGTGTTTTGATTTTGGCTTCTGGTATTGTTATGATGGCTATAAAACTTTGAAATAAAGTTTAAAATCAGACATCCAGGCAAATCTCTGACCTAACAAAACTACTCTTTTGTCTGTATACTACCTATAGATGTGTTATGCGTAATCCAAGTCCAGCATTGTTCTCACTGTGTGAAACAAGTTGAATAAGTATAGTTGGCAGCTTTCCACACTCAATGTTTTATGCTTTTGAGTTTGGTGTTTTTAATGTTCAGTTAAGTATTGCTGTTCAAGTAGAAACCAGGAAGACACAATACTTCGATTTCTGAAATTAGGTAATTGAAAATGTAATTACATCATTTTCATGCCACTTTAAACTTAAATTTAAGTAGCAACAGAAGCTTTGTTCACATGAAGGAGTAAGAGAAGAATATCTTAACTAAAATGCATAGTTTCTGCAAATTTTTTTAGAAAAACCCACAGAATAATAAATTTGTATTCAAAACTAATAGGCAGTTAGTGACTTCTGTGGTATTCCATTGTACAGATAGAGAGTCAGAATCTCATCTTTCTTTGTCAGCTTTCCTGCATGCACAGTACAAGATTAATTAACACGATTTGGAGTCCCCAACATAGAAAGGACATTGAAGTGCTGAAACGGGTCCAGAAGAGGGCCACAAAGATGATCAAAGGGCTGGAGCACCTCTCCTACGAAGGCAGGCTGAGAGTTGGGGTTGTTCGGCTTGGAGAAGAGAAGGCTCCGGGTAGACCTTAGAGCGACCTTTCAGTACCTGAAGGGTGCATATTAAGAAATCTGGGGAAGAGCTGTTCACTAGGGCACGTAGCGATAGGACGAGGGGTAATAGTTTTAAACTAGAAAAGGGTAGATTTAGATTGGATATTAGAAAGAAGTTCTTCAATATGAGGGTGGTAGATCACTGGAACAGGTTGGCCAGGGAGGTGGTAGAAGCCCCATCTCTGGAGATATTCAAGGTCAGGCTTGATGTGGCTCTGAGCAACTTGATCTAGTAACATTGTCTCTGCTCACTGCAGGGGGGTTGGACTGGATGATCTTTAAACGTCCCTTCCAACCCAGTACAGTCTATGATTCTGTGATTAGTACCTTGCCTTAAAAAACCAAAACAGTAATAAACGTAATCTTCTAGGGTATCTTCTGACAGAGTAGACTGAGTACCTGCATTGCCTAGAAATAGAAATGCTAGCACTATGTAATCTTTTCCTTTTTGTGTTCTGTCTAGAAGAGCAAGTGTTTTGAGTTGTAGCCATGTCTGTTGTAGATCATAGGCAGTCAAGGGAGTGATGCCCCTTTGAGTGGAAAAGTGAGGTTTCACTATGTGACAGCTACAGCTTTCACGAGGGTCTAGAAAATGTCCTGTACTGTACAATGCTGAAGATGGTGACAATGGTCTCTTTATTTAGCACCAGGAAATCTGTGACTGGTACAGGAATCAAATTAGGTATAAACATGGATTAGAGCAAAAAGTCTTAATATTTCATCTTAACGAAAGCAAGAGGTTTTTTTGAACAGAACATCTTCTACAACTGATTGAACTATATTCCTTGCTGTTTTCCTGCTGTTTGCTTGCTTGAAAACTCCCTTGATCTCACCCTCCTACCTAATAAAAAAAATGTTTCTGGGAGCATTTTTCTCAGGCTGGCTGTACACTGTGACTGCAGAATGACATAAATTGCTCTACCCCCAGAAACTGAGTCATTAGACTTGTGGGTTTGGTTTCTAAATGAGTAATTAGAAGTTAAAGTATAAGTATCTTTTAAGTTCAGAGACATGAATGTGCCATTGGATATATTTGTAAGAGAGAGTAAATATATGAGCCTTTGAAAAGAGGGTAGTAGCTGCTTTTAGTCTCCAGAAATTACAGCACTACTGGAAAGAGCCTCCAAGTCAGAACATGTTACCATGGCAACTAAATTACAAAGTTGAGTATGAAAAAATCAGAAGAGCTTTTGGTACTTGGATACGCATTTGAAATGCATAGAGAGCTTAATGTTTCAGGAATGTATCTTGTATGTGTGCTTTCTGCAGAAGTTACCGCGTTGTCTTAGAATTGTAGAACCATTCAGGTTGGAAGGGATTTGAGGAAGACATCTGGCCCAGCCTGTTCCTCAAAACAGGGTCAGCTATGAAGACAGACCATCCTACTCGAGGCTTTATACACTAAGGTCTTGAAAACCCCCAAGGAAGGAAATTCCACAGCTTCTCTGGGTAGCCTGTTTCAATGTTGAGTTATCTGCACAGTGTATGTTTTTGCATTTTTTGTTGTTGGTTTTTTTTCCCCCTTTTCATGCAGTTCCTGTTTTCCTATGCTTCTAGTCCATATGCAATGTCCTGTTTCAATTTTTGATCGTTATGTTTAGTTTTTCCTGTTGTGCACCTTGGTACAGAGCCTGGCTCAGTCTGTTTGGTAACCTGCTCTTGAGTATTGGAAAAGTGCTCAACCTCAAGCCTTCGTAGGCTAAACAAGCCCATTTCCTCAACCTTTTGCACAGCACACTTACTACAACCTCCCAACCATCTTGATAGTCCTCTGCTGTGCTTGTTCAGATCTATCACTGTTGTATTTGGGTCCAAAATGGGATGCAGTATGCTGGGTGTGATTTAACAAGTGTCAAGTAA